TACAGTATAAGTGTTACATAAATAGGTGTTGTATTATCTAGGGAATAATGACAAAAGAAAGGCTGTGTGTATTCAGTACAGCCACAACTATCCGTCTTTTTTCCCAGTTTTTTTTTTCGATCTGTGATTGGTTTGAATCCATGGATACGGAGAGCCAACTATACTTTTTTAATTTTAAGTCAGGGTCTCACTCTTTTGCCAAGGCTGGAGTGCAGTGGCGCGATCATGGCTCACCTCCTCAATCTTTTGGGCCCAGGCGATCCTCTCACTCAGGCTTCTGAGTGACTGGAGCAACAGGCACGCATCTCCACACCCAGCTACTTTTTTTATTTTTGTAGAGACGAGATCTTGCTACGTTGCCCAGGTTGGTCTTGAGCTCCTGGCCTCAAGCCATTCTCCTGCCCTCAGCCTCACAAAGTGCTGGGATTACAGGCGTGAGCCACCACACCTGGCCTGAATTCCCTTTTAACTTTCATTGTATTTTAGAAGAAACATAATTGCTCTTGGTTTTCTCCTTATCTGTACGTAAATAAAGTTGATCTGTCTGAAAAGCTTTTGTTGACTTTTAGTTAATGACCTAATTTAAAGTTCAATCAATATTTGTTTGATTTTTAAGTAGAATTTTATATTAGACCCAAGATAAGGCAGATCATTACTATCTCTAATTTTTTTTTGAGTTGGAGTCTCACTCTGTCACCCAGACTGGAGTCCAGTGGCCGCTCCCAGCCACTGCAGCCTCGACCTGCTGGGCTCCGGCGATCCTTCCGCCTCAGCCTTCGAAGTAGCCGGAATTACTGGCGCGCGCTACTGCGCCCGGATAATTTTTTTTTTTTTTTATTGTAGAGATGAGGTCTCGCCAAGTTGCCCAGGCAGGTCTCGAACCTGCGGGCTCAGGCAATCCACTCACCTAGGCCTCCCAAAGCGCGGGATTACAGGCTGAGCCACCGAGCCCAGCCCTAATTTTTTTTTTAATGTGTAACTTTTTCTCTCTTTATGCTAGTTCCCTTGTATACAGTGAAACCGAAACTACCACTAACTAGAAAGGGTCAGCATCATTATTTCAATTCTTAGGTTGTACGCATCATGTTTTGACTAAAGAAGATGATACAAGGCCGGGCTCAGTGGCTCAGCCTGTAATCCCAGCACTGTTGGAGGCCGAGGTGAGTGGATTGCCTGAGCCTGCGGGTTCGAGACCCATCTGGGCAACTTGGCAAGACCTCGTCTCTACAATAAATCAAAAACTAGCTGGGCGTGGTATTGCATGCCTGTAATTCCAGCTACTTGAAAGACTGAGGCAGAAGGATCTCCGAGCCCAGCAGGTTGAGGCTGCGGTGGCCGGGAGCCTGCCACTGCATTCCAGCCTGGGCGATGGAGTGAGACTTCAACTCAAAAAAAAAAAAAGAAGATGATACATGAAACAAGCAGTGTGAGTTTCCCTTTTACAGTCAATGGTTAAAGCACCTCTCCCCAAATACCAGTCACAGAGCAGTGGTGATTCTCACCTTTTTAAAACTTGGGTCCCCTTTTGACCAACATACAGCTAGACTCACATACTCCATGGCAGGGTATAGGCATGCTCTTTGTTGAGGTCATTATATTCTTCATATATATCCTCCAGGCAAACAATTTTCTCTTTCCTTTCTTATTATTTGTATTATGAAAATAATAAACTTTTTCGTCTGTTTTCCAGACACAAAATGATTAAGTGTGCATCTTCAAATTATAAATGAAATATCTTACTACCACTACCCCAAGTTGAAAATACATAATATCAAGAAAGGGAAGAAGGCCCCAAAACATACATAAAGTTAAAAGGCCATAGACATTTGAAAACAGACTAGTGGATAAGACAGAGTTATATGAAAGTTAGAAATCTATTCTCTAATTTACATTTAAGATCCCCTCCTTGTATACAGCCTACTAGTTCAGGAGTATATGTCTTCATGTTGGATTAATTCAAAATTGGTAGTCAAAATTAAAGGTAAAAACTTTGTAATCTTTTTTAAAACTCTTCTGCAAAAGTTAATCTTGTAATTTAGCAGTGACACAAATACAGCTGACAGATGTCTTGAAGTCACAGCTTTCAGATATACAGCCTCCCGTTCCGATGCCTTGTCGCCCTTGACCTGCCCAATGCTGCCAGATCTTCTGCATCCCGCCCCATCATCACAGGCTGTTCTGGACCACAACCGCACTGCCCAGACTGACTCTGCAACTGTCACTTTCTTCCTTGTGACCCCTAGTGAGGAATTCAGCTACCTTGCTTCCCTCATCTCTGAACGTTTTCCAATCTTGCCACAAGGAACATCTCTCCCCACTTTCATTCCTCATGTCTTTCCCCTTTCTTCCCTCTTTGACTTAGGGAAAATTTGCTTCCACCATCATCATTTCATAGTTGAAGCCAAACGGTAGTTGAGAAGTAGAAGAATGTTGTTTATGTGCTTTTTATTTTTTATTTTATTTATTTATTTATTTTTGAGAAAGCAGGATTTATTGAGAGGACAGAAAAGCTCCCACAGCAGGAGGGGACCCAAAGGGGTTGCCCTACGTGTCTTTTTAAAGGGAAAAATCCACTTATTTTCTCTTTTTTACTGAAACAACACTGCCTGATTTCACAAAAGATTTAGAGTAACTGTAATCTGCCTTTTCATCTTCCTCAGTTTAAGTTTGCTTTCCCTAGATGAAAATCATTTATTGTTCCTTGTTATTGTGCATCAGTATAGTAGTTTTGTGTTTTTCATGGTTAGAATAAGCACTTTATATGCTATTATAACTTTTTGTCAGATATAACTCATTGTTAATTTGAGTCCTGTTTGTACTCTTAGAATACATTTAACAAGAAAGAGGCCTATTTAGGTTAATATAGCATGTGAAATAAAAGTTTCTTTTCTCAAAATGTTTTTTCTTTCTTTTTTGCTCTGGTATGATATAAAGCCAGAGGAAATGTGTTGCTAGTTTAGTGATCAAGATGATTTCTGGGATGGTTAATCTTTATTCTGTTTGTTGAACAATGAGTGAACCACAGTCAAGAATTGCTTTTGAAACTTTTCTTGCCCTCCCTGGCCTCTGCTGCAATCTCCCTTGACAACAGAACAAGGGCCTGCAAACTTGCTTTTCTGGCTTGTTGCAAGGCTTTATGAAAACATGACCCACAGCCTCATGCTGCCAACCTAGCTGTGCCGAGTCAGAAGCCTTCAGGCCACCAGTCCTCCAGTGCAGCTACCCGATAGGGGAGTCCCAGGGCCTGGTCAGGTTCCTGAACGGGAAGTGTCGCAGCCCTGGTCTGTTCCTGCCTGCTGGGGATGGGGGCGGTTCAGAGGGACAAGCCTCTCCCTTCCCAAAAGTGAGGAGTGATTTGGGAGCCTACACGGCAGATGCCCTGCCAAGCTGGCATGTGATGACGACTTTGGTGTCAAACAGGCCCAATCTAGGGCAGCAGTTTTCATCACCATCAAAATTTTTTTTCCTTATACTGTGATTTGTCATGCCACTAAGAAGACACCAGTAGTCATAAGCCTAGGTTCCATTTCATTATGTGCACATGCACGTATACTCCCACATCTCCCTACTCTTCTAACAAGAAGTTTCCTTTCTAAGATATAAAAACTTCAGAGGTAAAAAAATGTAGCTGTTAATTTTTGCATGCATAAGCATTCTGTTGATTTGGAACATGATTTTTTTTTTTTTTTTTTTTTTTGGTGAAACTACATTTAGGTTTATATGTGACTAAAACTTCTGTAACTGTAATGTTGAAGGTTACATATATATAAAATTAGGAAACTTATAATACTTTTTGCTCTAGATAGTGGTAATTTTTCTGCCTTTAACATTCTACATGTATGCAAATTGACTCACTTAACAGTTGCTGTAGGATGAAGTACAATTTTATGTATGTTAATGTGATCCATAACATATATGGTGTGCCTTTTGTTAGAAATAAAACACTTGGGTTTATGGTATGTGAATTATATCTCAAAGCTACATTAAAAAGACACCATGGTTATAGGACAGCAGATGATGATAATGGTAAGTGTACACTAACATTGTAGAAGAGTGGTGGTTGGCTTACCTACTGTAAATTTATTGTTCCTATTTTATGCAAATAAGAGTATGTATACTGGTGAGGTGTATCTTTACTAGAGATTTTTATAGCCTATGTTAGATTGAATTTATGTGATGTACTTTAAAAAAAGTAGTTCTAAGACCTTGGACTTTAGAATCAGGCAGATATGTATGGTTTAAGTCATGGGCCCTTAACCAAATTATTTATTCTCTCTGAGTTTTATTTTCATCATTTGTGAAGTGAGCATAATGCACATCCCTCAGAAGGGTTTTCGTAAATGCCAGAGCTCTCTCTAGGTGTGTGTGTGTGTGTGTGTGTGTGTGTGTGTGTGTGTGTGTGTGTACACAAAATACCTAGTTTAGTACTTAGCCAATTGAGAGGGCATCAGTAATTACTAACTCCTAGTATGGCATTATAGCATTGAGAACAGTGACTACTTTGGTTGCTTTTCTGTGCTGGAAATATTTTAAAATAAAATGATTATAAAATTTCCTAAGGACGTTTTTAGATATGATAACAAACCTAGCTTTTCCTCCCTTTTCCTACACTCTTTGGTAAGATTATAAAGACTTACTGAAATGAACCATATTATTTACTTATTTAATGAATGTTTAATAAATGTTTGCATATTTACATGTGTTTGGCAAATGATGTATTGAAACAGTTATGATCAGTGCACTAAAAATTTTTTTTTTAATTTTTGTCTGCCAGTTAGATGAAATGGGTTTCAGATTTCTCTGGTAGAATTGAGGAATTGCTAAATATACTGAATAAGATTCATTACAGGATATTTTTCCCCTTTCTGCAAGCGTCTGAAGAAGAAATACGTTTTGATGCATTATTGGTGCTTTGTGTTTTTTCCTTAACTCTGATAATAAGACTTGACATGGGCTCTCAGAATAAATCTAAGGGATTTACTTTAAAATTGTGTTTTTAGGGCAAATGGTATCATCGGAGGCAAGCTGTAAAAGAATTGCATAGTACATTAATACGTCTCCTAAATGAATTACTGCCATGGGAACCAAAGTTAATGAAGGCTTTCCAAAGAAACAGGTGAGGCAAACAAGTCATAATCTGTTTTATCTATCTCATGGTCCTTAATCAGTGATTTGGTTAAGATGTTCTAGAGTTATCAGAGCTTTCTGTTCATTTGTAATTCAGCAGGTGTTTCTGAAGGCCCCCCATTGCAAGTCGCCTCCTCAGCTCTGAGAAAGCAGTGATGATTAAACAAAACCCTAACCTGTGACTTGTATTCTCGTGGAAGAAACAAGCAAGCTCAAATTTCAGGTGGCAAAAAGTTTACAAAGAAAAGTAAAGCAGGGGAAGAGGGTTAAGAAATGACTGGTTTGGACAGGACAAAACTTACTCTTTTACTGGGGTCTCATGTTTGAACTGAGACCTGAGGATAATGAGGGTGAGAGCCATGTAGCTGTCTGAGGGAAAAACCGAGGGAATAGAAGGTACAAAAACTCTAAGGTTGAAAGCATTTTGGCATTTCAAGGAAATTCCAAGAGTAAGTGTAACCAGAGCGGAGTGAGTAAAGTAGAAGGTTGTAAGAGACAGGAGTCAGAGAAGTAGAGGGGAAGAGAGCCAATCATGTAGGTCTTTAAGGACTTGGGTTTTGATGCTGAGTGAGATTAGGAGCCATTGAAGGGCTTTAAGCAGAGAAGGGACATGGTCTGACCTATTTTAGAACAGTCACTCTAATTGCTATGTTGAGATTAGTGTACAATCTCAACAAGGGGACCGAGGTGAAAGCAGAGAAACCAGCTATACAGTAGCAGTAATCCAAGAGAAAAATGGTAGAGGCTTGGACCACAATAGTAGCAGTGCAGATGCCAAGGATTGGTTGGATTCTGGGTACATCTTGGAAATAGGATTGGGAGAGTTTGCTTAAGGATTAGATATGAGGTATGAGAGAAAGTGAGGAGTGACAAAGATTATGCCCAATGAACAGTTGGAATAATGGAATTGCCATTAACTGAGAGCAGACACCGAAGGAGGGGTAGGGAAGACTGGAGATTTTAGATTTCAACATGTTAGGTCTAATATGCTTTTAGACGTCTAATTGGTGTTGTTGAATAGGCAGTTCGATATATGAGCCTGAATCCAAGGGAGGGTGCCAGACTGGAGGTGCAAATTTGGGAGCTGTCAGCATACTGATTATACTTAAAGCCATGAGGCTGGTAGAAATCACCTAGTATGTGAGCAGAGATGGAGAAGAAGAGAGAACTAAACACTGGGCATCCCAACATGTAGAGGTGGGCAAGATAAGTAGAACTTAGCAGAAGAGACTTTGAAGGAGTACCCGGTAAGATAAAAGGATACCTACGATGTGTGGTGTCTTGGAAACCAGAGAAAATGTTTCAAAAAGGAAGACTACTCACGATAGGTTGAGGAAGATGAGGCATAAGAATTCATTACTTGATGTGGTACTATGAGCTTCATTTCTTGGTGTTTTGTATTGATAGGAGTCTGTTCAAGAGACTTAGGGAAGAGGAAGAGTCCTCTTTGATGGAGTTCTGCTGCAAAGTGGATAGAGAAATGGGGCAGTAGCTGGATGGACAAGAGAGGGTTAAGAGAGCGTGTTTTGGTGTTGGTTGTCATCATTTGACTTTGGTAATAGGAGAAATAGCATGTTTGTATACTGGTGGAAATAACCTAATAGATAAAAAATGAATTCAGGCAAGGAAAGGGACATTTGGCCGAATGTTGTCCTTGGTTAAGGCCAGGGAGGATGCTGTTAAGTGGAAGTAAATTTTTAGTGTCAGTCTGGAGGTGGAGAGTATGCGTCCACCTTAAGGTGAGTTGCAGACAAGGTGTGAGCATGTCAGCTCCCTTCTGACTGCTTCCACTGCTCATGAAAGAAGAAGCAAAATCATCAACTGAGACTGAGAAGATGACTGAGAGTGATAAAGGAGAACTTCATACTGTCTGCGTGTATGTATTTTTCATATCAGTCTTACAGAAAACTTGAAAAGGAAGTTCATTGTGTGATCAGCGTTTGGTAACCCAGTCTAGTACCTTACTCCCCTCATCTACTCCACAAAATCCTTAAGCAATAATTTAAAACATAAGTAAATTGAGAGTAACGATTAACTAACATTTGTTGAATATGTATGTGCCGTACATACTATGAAGTGAGTACTGTTACTATAGATAAGTAAATTAATGCCTTAAAAAATCAGGAATTTTTTCAGTCTTACAACTAGGAAGTGACAGAGATAGGACTTAAAATTCAATATGCACAAATAAAAATGTGTAGCAAAAATAAACTGAATAACGTATGTCCAGGTTTATTTTTTAAACAAAAAATAAACTAAGTAAAGGTTGAAGGTAGTGTAGAGAACTTTGAAAACAATAGGAATAATAATCTCTAAAATACTGTGTTTTTATCTCACCACAGTTTCTCAGAAATTTATGTGAAAAAGATCTCTGTGAAGGTTAGATAGGTTACCTTTCAGCTTTATTTTCCTAGGCTTAATTTTTAAATATTTATTTTTAGTTAGATCTAAAGGTTTAGTTAGATATGATTACTCCCAGGATTAAGGATGGATTTGTTTGTTTGCTACTATCTGTATAATAGTCACAGTAATAGTTACTGTTGCTTAGAATTTCTTGATTAACCTGTAAAAAATGACATTTTAACCTTTTTGTAATCAATAATTTTATGACTGTCTCAAATATTTCTGTCACTGCAGCTAGGAAAAAATGTAGCTTTCTCTCATCTAACAGGTCTAACAGCAGCCTTTAGAAAGGCAAACAGGTGGTATATGCAATTGCTTTATTCTGAAGTTTGCAGGTATAGTCATTTCTTATACCTACACCCTAGGTTTGTCTTCTTGAGCAGTTACCCGTTGGTAAGATTGAACTAAGCATCTTAGACACACTTAAGAGTAAAACGTGCCGGGCTCGGTGGCTCAGCTTGTAATCCCGCACTTTGGGAGGCTGAGGTGAGTGGATTGTCTGAGCCCGCAGGTTCGAGACCCGCCTGGGCAACTTGGCGAGACCTCATCTCTACAATAAATCAAAAACTAGCCGGGCGTGGTAGTGCGCACCTGTGTTCCAGCTACTTGGAAGGCAGAGGCAGAAGGATCGCCAGAGCCCAGCAGGTCGAGGCTGCGGTGGCCGGGAGCAGCCACTGCACTCCAGTCTAGGCAACAGAGGGAGACTCCAACTCAAAAAAAAAAAAGAAAGAGTAAAATGTAATTTCTAGTACTTAAGTGAAAATATTTCAATATGTAGTTTAAAATGTTAAAAGTTAGACTGGGTGCAGTGTCTCACACCTGTAATCCCAGCACTTTGGGAAGCCAAGACAGCAGGATTGCTTGATCCTAGAATTTCAAAACCAGCCTGGGCAACATAGTGAGACCCTGTCTGTACCAAAAAAATTTTTTAATTAGCTGTGTATGGTGGTGCATGCCTATAGTCCTAGCTACTTAGGAAGCAGAGGCCAGAGGAGCCCTTGAATCTGGAAGTTCATAGTGTGCTATGATTGCACCACTACACTCCAGCCTGGGTGACAGAGTGAGATCCTGTCTCTTAAAAAGAAAGAAAGAAAAAGGAAAAAAAGGTTGATAGTTTAGATGTGTTTTGTTTATGATGGGTATTTCATTTCAGGAGCCGCCTAAAGAAAGACTATGATGATTTCCGAAGACAACCCGATCACGATAAATTCACCAGAGAACTGTGGACAACTGAAGAGGGCGATGGAGATGTGGGAAAAAGCTCTCCTAAGGGAGAAACCAGTGCCACTGTGGACTCGACAGAACCTCTGGACGTCCTGGAGAAAGAGCACTTTGATTCAGGTGGGCATCAAAGCTTCGTCAAAATCCACACCCAAAACACAGAGAAAAGTTTTTGTTTGCTGGGAAGGCAAAAGGTCATCTGGTCAATGGAACATACCAACTGGGAAAATCTGGTATGTTTTGAAGAAGTACCGTCTATGTCTTTGTAAGAAGTTTCTTAGGAGTCATGACACTGCTAGGAGTTTCTGGAGCCAATGACTGACTTCAGACTCTACGCTTATTATTGCTCATTACAGACCACGCATTCTTGATCTGTAATTTCTTTTGAGATTTATTTCCTTCTTTTTATTACTACTATTTTTAAAGGACTATTTCTAAAGTTTGCTTTAAGTAGAATCTGACGAGTGCCTAATATTATGAAGATTTTTTTAATGAGGAGTGACCAAAATCGATGACCTGGTGAGACCAGAATGAACACATGATTCTAATTAGGATAAGGGGATGGATTAGGTTACCTGTAATTCATTTCAACTCATCAGATTGTATTATTATGCACATCTAGTTTAATGACTTTATTTGGTATAAGAGGTTAATACTAAACTTTGTGACTAGATTGTATTAACCTGTGTTTTCCATACTTTGGTGACCTGTAAGAGTAACTTATCAGCCAGTTTGACTAGATAAGAGCAAATTTTTTTATCGTACAGATAAACATTAGAAAAAGCTGGACTTTTTTTGTCCTTTAGAGTTTTTAAAAATAGACTGGAGAACCACCTCTCTTTGGTGTTAAGGTTTCCCTATCTAGAGGAGGAAAACTATACTAGATTTCTCTTCAAATTAAATTCTGAGCCCTAGTTGTTGGCTTGACTATCTCTTTAAAAGATGAAAAACATTTTTGCACTTTATGTTGGCAGCAGAATTGGGCCAAAAGTAATTTTCTCATTAACAAGTTTTTCTTGGGCATGGTTATGATATCAAGTTTACTGTGTCAAAAGTCACCTTACCTTTATCTCCATCAGTGGTGCTGAGGCTTTCACATCACCCTGCAGTAGATTTTTAAATAAATTGCCAACTCGGACAATAGTGGGAAACTGCCAGGGGAGTTGAGAGCAGGATTGACAGTAGTGGGAAACTGCTAGGGGATGGGGGCATACCTCATCACCAAGGGGACCCGCATAATGCACACTTGTATACCTAACCCTGAATCGTACCCCACATCTTTAAAATAAAAAATTAATAAATAAATAAATTGCCAACTCAGAGATTTTCTTTTTCATAATTGATGTTATTATTATTCAATTGCTGTTTATATAAACAAATTACTTGTTTTTGTAATTTTCAGATGATATGAAATTGTCAGAAATAGATCTTCCTATGGGCAGAAGCAAGCTGTCGAAAAAGGAATTGCCTTCTAAGGATGTACCGAAGACACTGCTGAAAACACTTAAACGACAGTCCAGACAAACTGTTTATCTGGATGATAGCACAAAAGAGCTTTCCCCAAGGAAGAAAGCAAAGCTAAGCACAAGTGAGACAGCAGTTGAGAATTTGGAAGATAATGTGCAGATTGACTGTCTGAATGAATCAAAGCACACAGAGCCATCGTTTCCAGAGTCATTTGCCTCACTGGATTCGGTGCCCGTGTCTCCTCTTCAGAAAGGGACCAAACCCATTCAGGCCTTGCTTGCAAAGAATATTGGGAACAAAGTGACCTTAACAAACCAACTGTCCCCTTCCACAGGCAGAAGTGCTCCTACTGTGGAAAAGCCAGGCATATCTCCCCCAGAAGCAAGCCCTATAAAGCCAGCATTGACCTGCCACACCAGTGCAAAAGGCCCTTTACAGGTGGTATACAGGATGCCCTGTGGCCAGTGGTTGCCAGTAGATCTTCCTAACAGCTCTGTAAAGATTCAGATGCAGCCTGTGGTGGACCCTAAAACAGGAGAAAAAATCATGCAGCAGGTTCTTATTCTGCCTAAGAATTTTGTGATCCAGCATAAAGAAGGAAAAGCCATTGCGAAAGAAGTGCCAGCACTTCAACAAAAAGGTACAGAACAGCATCTTTCATCTTTCCCACAGACCGCAAATGCAGACGCTTCTTCAGCATCAGTTCTCATCAACCCAACAGGAACTGTTTCTGCTGAACTACCTAGCACAGCTTTCAGCAAGACGATTACTCCTATGTCAAGTGTGAGTAACACTAGAGCACCGCCCTTGTCGCCGTTAACCTCTGTGAGTAACTTCTTGACGCCACTGGTTAAGGCTAGCCAGAGCGAGACAGGAGCGGTCAAGAATGCAGTCTCCATGGCCACATTCCCACTGCCCAGTGCTTCATCCCCCGTTTGCTCAGCAGGCCAGCCTCCGTCATCAGCAGCACCACTAAATGGCTCTACGCATCCTGGCAGTTCCCTCAGCTGTTTGACACAACAGATTGCTGATTCTTCAGAGGCAAAGCAAGAACTGAAAACGGTGTGTATAAGAGACTCCCAGTCGATTCTGGTCAGGACACGAGGTGGGAACACGGGAGTTGTGAAAGTACAGACCAATCCAGATCAAAATTCGCCCGATACTCTATCCCCAAGTTCTGTGTTCACATTTACTCCTCAGCTTCAGGCATTTCTGGTGCCAAAACCGACGACTTCACCATCCTCTGATTTTTCACCGGTAGCTGGAACAACTACTTTATCTAGTCTCCCACCTTTTGGACAGACATCAGCTTCTGTTTCCATCCCAGCTAACTTCAGTTCGTCCTTGGGGAAGAACCTCAGACTTACATTAGGCCACACCCCTAACAGTGGAAATTCGGGCCCCATGGTTGACAAGATTTCACATATGCCCTCTTCTCCCTTGAAGGCCTCTGCTTCTTCTGGCAGTCTAGTACCATCAACAACAGGTAGTCCAGTAAGCATAATTAGCATATCAACAGGAAATTGGGGACAAAACAATGCCGAAGCTATTCATACTCCAACTAAACAGCAACAAGCAGATTATATCACAAAAAGTTACCCTGTTACAAGCTCAGAAGCAGCAGCAGCCACAAGCGGAGACATGATCAGTGGGACTCCAGTCCAGAAACTTGTGCTGGTGTCAGCTCCATCTGTTCTTTCGTCTGGCAGTGCAGCTGCAGTTCACAGGACACCTGCACCAACATCTACAGGTGTTTCTTCCCAGAAGTTAGTTTTTATTAATGCTCCAGTTCCCAGTGGAATCTCATCCCCAACTGTTGTTGCAGAACCACTCAAACAGACTCTCCCTCCCCCGCTGAGTAAAACACACGTTAGGGCTCCAGAGCAACCCCAGATCGTGCTGCTTCCCTCGACAGTGGGAGCGCCTGTAAAAGTAAACTCATCGCCAACTGTGTCTCAGATCAAAGATGTGAAAATTGGACTGAACATCGGCCAAGCAATCATAAACACTTCAGGTACTGCGCCAGCCATGCCATCAGTTAACATCCTGCAAAATGTAACCCCACAAGGAGATGGCAAAGCTAGCAAGGGCTGTATTCTGCCATTGTCAGCAAGTGGTAGTTCAAGTCCAGCAAGCGCAAATTTTGAGAGTCAGAATATTAGTCCTGTTAATGAATCAGTGGTTTCTGCAGCAAGGGCAGTAAACATGTTTTCAGTCACTGGAGCAAATGTTCCTTTGGGTTCCCTTCCAGTGACCTCAGCCTCTGCGTCAGTTGGGACACGGCCTCCTGTTTTAGTGAGTGGAAATGATGCCTCTTCAAGAATGATGCCTATGTTGTCAAGTAGGCTTTGCACATCCAATCTTGGAAACACCGTGGCTATATCAACTGTGAAAACAGGACACCTTGCATCATCTGTTCTGATTTCAACTACACAACCCACAGTGTCTCCCAAATGTTTAACATCAGCTTTGCAAATCCCTGTTACTGTTGTCTTACCTGCACCTGGGACTGCATCCCCTAAAATAATCAACACAGTTCCCCATTCAGCAACAGTACCAGGAGGTCCACGTTGTATATCCCTTTCTAAAAGACAATCTCGGACTTCTCTCCAGTTTCAGCCGCCAGGGATTTCAGCTACAGTGCCAATAAATGTAAACACAAGTAAACCTCAGACTGAGCTGTCATCCCTCTCACCAAGTCCGGGTAAAATAATTAATGTTTCCAATTTTGCCTCTCTGCCAAGCCAGCAGATGCCCCCCGCCTTGGTAAAATCCACCCCCAGCTACAGTCCCGCTCCAGTTGGTTCTGCCATTCACACTGCTGCAGCACCGTCGAACGTGACTAGTCCGGCAGGAAGTCAGTTCAGTGAACCCTGTGTCCAGCAAAAAATAGTCATCAGCACCAGTACGCCTTTGGCACCTGGCACTCACATCATGATCAATGGAACCCGGTTTATTGTTCCCCCGCAAGGTCTCGGAGCTGGCAGCCATGTTCTCCTTATATCTACTAATCCAAAATACGGACCTCCCTTAGTTCTCAACAGTGGCCAAGGCATTCAGCCGACACTGGTAGATAACCCTGCCCAGAAGATCACGCCAGCATCAAATAATTCCTTAAGTGAGCAACCTGTAAAACATCCTGTAAGAAGCTCTACAAAAATGGTGAACTCCTTTGGGAATGCAAGTTCTCTGCCCACAGTACACACAACACCCCAGA